GCGCTGCCCCAGCGGGCCGCCTGCTGCCGCCCGAGGCCCTGGAGCCAGCCGGGCGCCTCCTCCGCGCCCCTCTGCGCCCGCCCCGCAGCTTCCGCGATGGGGTTTTGAAGGGGAAGCTTCGGGCTCCGCCGACCGCACAGCTGCTGAACGGGGTGGCGGAGGGGAGGCGGGTCCAGGGCCGCCACTGATTAGGAAGAGCGCTCCAGGCGCCGCCCGCGCGTCCCTGGAGCCGCTCTCCAGGCGCGAGCGGGGCAGGTGGCCTGAGGACCCGGCCAGCTGGGGGCACAGCGGGTAGACAGGTGGGACAAGGGGAGCCCCCCGGGGGGCAGACAAAGGGGGCAGTGAGGCCCCATCTAGAGAAAGGCAGCCCCGCAGGCAGGACAGACCCCAGCAGAAATGGGGCTGCTCGCGATGCCTGGGAGACCCCAAGTCGATACTCCCGAGGGCTCAGCAGGGATCGCCCAAGCCCGCGAAAGCCCCAGGGTCGGGCTGCCCTCTGCTGCTTCCCTTCTCATGTCTCTGGGTCAGGGAGGGGGGTAGGGGAGGGGACTGCTCTCAGGCGGCCGGTGTCCCCGCAGTGGAACCTCGTGTGTGGGGACAGCTGGAAGGTCCCGCTGCAGCGCACGGGCCACCTCCTGGGCTGGCTGCTGGGGTCCGTGCTCCTGGGTGCGGGCTGTGACCGGTGAGCGGCCCTCCCTGCCCTGGCCCAGCCTCCTTCCTCTGCGTGCCCTGTGTGGCCCCCAGCCATCTGTGTCCCCGCTGCCCACCAGCTTTGGCCGCCGGACTGTTTTTGTGTCCTCCTTGGTCCTGGCCACTGTCCTTGGTGCTGGCGAGGCCCTGGCTGCCCATTTCCCTGCCCTGCTGGTCCTGCAGCTGCTCCGAGGAGGCGCCTTGGCAGGGGCTTCCCTGGCTCTCTATGTGGCACGTGAGTCACACGGGGCTGCCGTCGAGGTTGGTGGCGGACGTCTGGCCTCTGTGAGCTCTGGGCTCAGGCCATCCCTTCCACCCCAGGCCTGGAGTTGTGCGACCCGGTGCACCGCCTGGCCTTCTCCTCGGGTGCTGGCCTCTGCTACGTGCTCGGTGCGCTGCTGCTGCCCGGGCTAGCTGTGCTGGCACAGGACTGGCATCTTCTGCAGGGGCTGAGTGCCCTGGCAACCGGGCTCCTGCTGCTCTTTTGGGGGTGAGTGTGGTGGGAGCTGGGCTAGGGGCAAATGTGCACCTCCATCTTTAGCTGGCACGTGCCCAAGGAGAGGGTCATAGCATGTCACTGTCCCCACCCTCCGGGTCCGGGAGGGTGCCGGCTGCTACTGATCCGCGGGGAGGAGATGGAGAAGCGACAGCATCCTGACCAGCACCACAGCTTCCCAGCCCTGCTCCCCGAATCCCCCTGCTGGCTGCTGGCTACAGGGCAGCTGGTGCGGGCCAGGAGGGTCCTGTGGTGCTTCGCAGAGGCCAGCGGGGTGGACCCTGAGCACAGCTCCTTGGAGGACAGCTCCCTGTCTACAGGTGAGATGCCCGCTTGCAGCAGAGGGTGGGCCTGGAGAACCTCTGTGTCACACATGCCCCTGTCCCCACCACCACAGAGCTGGCCGACTTGGCCACAGGCAGCACCCAGCCTCGGTACCACTCGGTCCTGGGCCTCCTGCACACCCATGTCACCTGGAGAAACACACTCATCCTGGGCATCAGCTCGTGAGGAGGGACAGGGCGGTGGCTGGGGTCTGCCACATGCTGAGGGGACATCTGTCCCCAAGTCCCACAGCGCAGCTGCACCTACAGCAAGGCCTCTCTTCCAGGCTGGTTGGTGGGGGCATCCAGGCCAGCTTTCTGAGCAGCCTGGTCCCACTTGAGACGTCCTTCTACCTGCCCTATTTCCTGGAGGCCAGTCTGGAGGCTGCGGCCATCATCTGCCTGCTCCTGACTGCCAATCGCTGGGGTCGCCGCCTCGTCCTGCTGCTGGGGACCCTGGCCACAGGCCTGGCATCCCTGCTGCTGCTTGCTGGAGCTCAGTGTGAGTTTGGGGCCCCATGAGCCACACAAGGAGTCACTGTTTGGGTTGAGGGTCTAGGACCAGCCCCTGCCCAGGCTGTGGGGCCAGTGGGGGCAGTGAGAAGTGGAGGGACCCGGACCAGTGTGCGTTTTTTTTCTCTGTCCTCTCAGGTTCACTTGACGAAACCAGGGCCAAGAGTTAGGGGCTGGATTTTCCAGGACAAGCTGAATCCAAGGAGCCTACATAGGTCCAGATAAAAACACCTGCTCTGGCCATGGATGCAGTGCAGGCTTAGGGTGCCCTGCACAGCACCAGCCAGGCTGAGAGCAGGGCTTGTCTAGAAGCAGTCAGAATTTTAAAAAGCTGGGCATGCTGGCCCACACCTGCACTCTGGCACTCTGGGAGGCTGAGGCAGGGGAATAGCAAAGTTGAGCTCACACTGGGCACTTTAGTGAGATCCTGTCTCAAAATGAGGAAGAGGGCTATAGCTCTCTGACAGCCCTTGGTTTAACCCCTAGTACTGCCAAACACACAAAACAAGAAAAGCACTCAGAATTTTGGGACAATTTTCAAAATCACAAAGGAAGTAAGAGCAGGAAATGTGCTGTCCTGCCTGGTGTCTGCTGTCACCACACTGTGCCCAGCCAGGAAGAAGCTCATCTGGCATTGGGCTGCAGGGTGGGGGTGGATGAGCACCTGGGACACCTGTGCCCATGCAGGGAGGTGGCCCCACGTGGCCAGGCAAGCCCTGTGGCGACCTGGCCACCCTTGTCCTTTGTGCCAGACCTGCCAGGTTGGGTCACTCTGCCTCTGTCAGTGCTGGGCCTCCTGGCCTCCCAGACCATGTCAGTGCTCAGCAGCCTCTTCGCGGCCGAGGTCTGCCCTACAGTGATCAGGTGAGCGCCGAGTGCCCAGCACCACAGGAGAGGGGTGGACAGCGACTCTGTCCTCACCTGCATACACCCCTGTGACCTGTCAGGCGGGGCGCACATCCTGGGGGGTGGAACGCAGGGAAGTGGCTTTCCAGGCAGAACCACCTCCTCCAGGGCTTCCTGAGGCCCTTCTCCGGCCCAGGTCCACCAGCTGTACCTCTTCTCCCCCAGGGGCGCCGGGCTGGGCCTCGTGCTGGGCGCCGGGTCCCTGGGCCGGGCAGCTGCACCCCTCACGGAGCTGGCAGGCCAGCGGGGCTTCTTCCTGCAGCACACAGTGCTCACCTCCCTAACCATCGTGGTCCTGCTCTGCATCCTGCTGCTGCCTGAGACCTGCGGCCGGGCACTGCCCGTGTCACTGGAGGATTCCGACCGCCTGTGCCGCTCCCCTCTCCTGTGTGCCCATCAGTCCCAGGACCACCTGCCCCTTCTGCTGCCCTCCCACTGAAGGCGCTGGTACATCCCCACAGCCTCACCGCTGGGGGGCCCCTAAGCCCCAGATGTCTGGCCTGGGGGACCACTGTGGGCAGATCCCCCAGCCACAGTCAGTGTAGGCTGGACAGTGTGGGGACAGCACTAGAGTGTCCCCAGCCAGGCCCTCTCCCTAGCTAAGTGTGCAAGATAAAGGCAGCACTGGAATACTGCCTCCTCCCTGGGTCTTTTTTGGCATTGCTTGTCAGGCCCCGTGCTGTGTCCCGCACCCTGGCCCTACGCTAGGGCTCTGGTCACTGTCAGCCGCCTGCCTGGCCAAACCCTACTCTTGGGGGCAAGGGCTGCGCCCCGTGGTCAGTGTGGCACTCAGCGCATCCGGTGAACGCCTTGTTTTTTAATTCAGATTCACACTCGGGGCCCCTAGTGTCATGCAGAGCCGCATCCACCAGGGGGCGGCAAAGGCGAACACCTGCTCCATGGCCGGCTCTTGTCCCCCAGACCTGGCCCAGACTGGCCGCCGCCTCCGCCTGGGTCTCCAAGTGCCCAGGATGAGACATGCAGCGCGGAGGCTGCATCCAGATAGCACGTCCCATGCCCCGTCCAGCCTCACGGGTGTCCGTACAGGTCCGCCAGCCTGGCAAAGCGCGGGCCCCAGTCCTGGAGGTAGTCGTAGTCCTGGTCCTCGTCCCCCAGGCTGGACACGGGGGAGCTCAGCGTCCCCGCCGCGGAGCCGTCCCCCTCGTAGTCGTAGATGAGAGCGGTGTCGTAGGGGGGCACGCTGGGGTCACTGTCCGCCGCCTGAAGGCCCTGTGGGCCCAGCTGAGATCAGCACCACAGGCCCAGGGCAAGGCCCGCCTGGGCAGCCGAGGGGACGCTGCCTGGAGGAAGCCAGCGACCCTGGGCACGCGCAGCAGGGCTGGATGTGGCCGGGGCGCCGTGGAACGCTCGCGGACGGGCTGGGGCGGGGCCGGAACATGGCCCCCCCGACAGAACCGGTGCCTACCCGGGGCCTGCGGCTGCGGGGTGCAGATGGGTGCGGGCCCGACCGTGCGGCCCGCCCGGGACCTGCCCACGACCCCGACGTCTCGCCGGTGACCGCTTCCACTGCCCATTCACACAGCCCCACGGGGGCCACACTGCGCGTCCCACACACGCAGGGTTAGAGGGGCCTCACGCAGCAGGCCCTGCTCATCCTGGGGGGCCCTGCGGACTCCACCTCCCGCCCCGCTGATCGGCCCGGGGGACCCAGAGCCCCCAGCGCGCCCCCCCGTGCGCATGCCAAGAACACCTACGTCGCGGATGAAGCTGGCGATGTCCGCGGGGCTGGCGGGCGGCGGGCGCGGCGCCTGGGGGCGCCCTCGGCCCAGAGGGGCCTCGCGGCGCAGGGGCGGCCGGCCCGGGGGGAAGCTCGGCGCCGCCAGCTCCGAGGGGTGGCGCAGTTGGTTTAAGTCGTAGGCATCCTGCGGGCAGAGGTCACACCGGGCGGCCCGGGGGTCCGTGGGGCAGCAGGCTAGGGACCCCGCAAGGCCGTTCTCTCCGGGAGAACCCCCGCCCCGCCGCTGCCCGCCCGCACCTGGTCCTCCTCGCCGCCGCCCTGCTCGTTGTAGTTGAGGATGTTGTCCCGAAGGTCGTCGTCGAGCGGACCGCGCAGCAGGCTCCTGTCCCGCGACCGCGGCCGGAACCGCGCTCTGAGCAGCACGAGCAGAACCAGCACTGGGGGAGGGGCACGGGTGAGGGGCGGCGGGGCGGGGCTCCTCCCGACGGG